ATAGAACGGACTAACGGCACAATTCACAACTTGCTGCGTGCGTTTGCCACAAATGGTCTAGAGCATGATTAGGATGCACACCTCCTCCTTTGAATGTCAGCTTACCATGGAGCGATACCTTCCCCAATCGGACTTACCCTCACTATTTATGGACCGGCCACCTTCCATCTAACACATTTACCCCTTGTCCACCCCCGATCCCGTGGCACCCCATCATTTCACCGCTGACCTGCGGGAAATCAGATCTAAGACTCATAATGCAGCCCGCGCAGCCTTTGGATATGTTCCCTTGCCATTCCTCTGGCACGCCCTGCCAAATGGGAGTATGTTTGATGCATCAAAACCCCACCCCCGCGCGGTTCCTGCACTAAGCTCCATTAGCCATTGCGTGGTACATTTACAATGCTCGATATCCTCGGGCCCACCACCCTTCTCCTCCGAGACGCCATCTTTCCCGCTGACCCTCTCTTTATTACTGATTCCTCCAAACGTAAGCCTTATCGCGGCCGCCCTCCCGTTCGCACCCCATCTTCCTCCCAGAACAACTACCCCCAGTAGCCATAGATGTTACTGTACCCTACCTTTTTGACCGCACCAGCACTTGGGCAGTTCTGACCCTTAGAGAGTGGTCTATGTAACGTGTCACCCCGAATCTCTCTTGTTTGAACAAATTGTTTCCCATTTGCTTGATTTTCGAGGATCTTGTTACATCTTGCCCTATAGCCGAACCGATAAGTCCCGATGCTATTATCATGCAAATATACCATTTTCTGGTATTTTTTATACCGTTATACTATCATTTATCCCACCACTATCATCAGGGACTCCATTTTCCTATTTTTATATCCTTCAATAATTACCTAACCTGTTTTATATTGCATTGCATCATTTTCACATATCTCTTATTGTGCTAGTTAATAAACACCCATCGTACCGTCGGGTATTCTATTTCTATTATGTCGCAAGATCCTCTGGAATCAATGGAAATTGATTAAATCCGTCTTTTAGGCCAGGCCGCTGCCTCCCCTCCCCTCAACAAGGACAGGTCTTCTGCTCCAGTCTCCAATGTAGAATTAAATGACTCGCCACTTGGCCGCCCCAAAGCTACATGACAGCCCTTGCCCACTCAAATTCAACACACACACAGCAATTGCGATCCTGCAGAGACTGATCTATCTTTTCGTACATGTTCTGCTGACGCATGAATGTACCCTGTACATGGTAAAGACAAATCTAACTTCCTTCATGGAGCTTGAGCCGTTACTTAGCTCAACGTTTTTGTAAGTTAGTCTGCCATTTTCAGGATTTATTCAGATATAAGATACCTACTCATGTCAATACACATACAGTCCTCAATTACCAGATCCAGGACACTTCCTTCTGCTTCCCGTTATTTGTAGGCATCATTTCCTTGCCCCAGCTTTCTTTGCGTTCATGATTTTGGCAGCCTGTGTAGGGCACCGTAACGTGCCCGACGAAAAAGACAGCATAGAACCTTCCTCGACAAAACAATATCAAGCGGAAGAGCCGAAGCGCAGTAAGTACATCTTCTTATTGTATTGGACAATGACTGCGCCGTTATGTCTGTCTCCGTAATGGATAAATATGTTTTCTTAATTCTGAACATTTTCCACAGACGTCGCAGACTTCGACGAAAGAGTTTACATTCTCTCATTCGATACCGTATTGGCTTCTAAAGTGGCTGGCATCGGTGAGATGCAGGTAGGCAATGTTAATAAGCTGAAAGAGGAGCAAAAAGCACAATATGGCTCTTAAAAGGCCCTACCAGATCAATCATGAACTATCGGAAAGATATACTGACCGGCTTACAAAGTGGAGGTAGCTGCCTTTCCGGTGGTGGCTCAGGCCAAATCAACTGAGCTATCCTCACTTTGGGAAAAGTGGCGCACAAGCATTGCAATTGTCGTCATCAGGATGCGCAAAGATACACTTTCTTGAATAGCTCCACAGGATATATCGTTTGCTTTATCTAAATTCTCGTTTTCTACCTTATTGCCAGATTCATTGCCGACATCCTGCGCCTATATTATCATTCTCCTCCCCTTCTTCCTCATCCTCCTTCCTTTCTTCCTCATGCTCATTCTCCCAATTTTTCTCCTCCTCATTCTTCTCCCTTTCTCGTGTTCTTGCGACAGCTCTTCTAATGCGAGCGAAAGCGCGGCGCAGTCTCACCTAATCCAATTTGAAAAACAACATTAAGGAAAATGGGCGGATAAGCGACAGACAAAACTGCACTTACTGCGGTTCGGCTCTTCGGCTTAATCCGTTATCGTCGAAGGATTTTCTATGCTGACTTTTTCGGAAAGTACGTGACACGACCCTACACAGGGTCCCAAAAACACAAACGAAATGAAGGCTGTTGGCACAGAAGCGATGCCTACAAAGGACAAAGACGACAGGGAGATTTTTGGATAAGTTAACCGACATCTACGTGAGTAAGCATCCTATGTCTTATAAGGTCGTAAAAACTAAAGGCTGCCTAACAGTGAGCTATGAGTTAGATGACAAGACGAGTTGAAAAACTGAATTTACTGCTGCACTAACCATGTAGAAGTTAGTTAATCACATCTAGGGTAGAAAAATCGAAGAAGGTATAAAGAAGGTTGCGAAGAAAAAAGGTGCATCGATTAATGAGTAGAACTTGTAAGCCAAAGTAGCTTAGTCCGCTACACCTCATCATCACTGTGTCTCCTAAATTTGAATAGGTGAGGGCGGTCGACCGGATGCCAGTTGCCATTCAAATATCGAAGTGGCAGCGTGAAGGCCAAATAATATGCATGTCTTCTGCGACCTAAAGATTGTCTAGTCAGGAGTATTGCGCAACCAGTGGCCCATCGGTTAATTGGCAAGCATTTGTTGAATGAACTGCAGTTTATTAGAGCAGTAGTGCAGAAGAGACAATGGCCGGATGACCGGGCGTTTCGGGGTAGGGCTGTTTACTGGATGGTATGTCCGTAGCCAGCAGGCAGCCTCCATTTTACTTTGTCACCCACTGATTATGTTTCGCGCTGCTACGCAGTAGGCAGGAGTTTCCTTGGTAGCGCACGAATGTTCTTTTTTATATTTACATGCCTACTCAATGAATTTCTGTTAGGGTTAGGGTTGGGTTTAGGGTTAGGCTTAGGGTAAGGGTTAGGGTTAGGATAAGGGTTAGGGTGGGATAGTGATATCGTATGTAAAAAGACCCAAGTTTCTGTCTTATGGGAAGCGTGGGAGTAGGCATGCAAATATAAATAAGAACAGTCGTGCGCTACCAAGGAAAGCCCTGCCATCGAGTATTTTATCGCACGTTCAAGACGTAAATTTTAAACCAACTGTGCGATCATATTCGTTAAGGAGTATTAACTGGCAGCGCGTATGAAAATGCCACTGTGGTGGATGAATATGCATCAGGATGACAGCTTAAAACCACGTTTCTGCAGGTTTTTAAATGTTCTGTCCTCTACATCACCCCCAATAAATTACATAAACCCCATGAAATGCTTCAGAATCGTCAAGGGTTATAAATGTGTCTGTTGAAGGCGCTCCCGAAACTATATAGAAGACTATTCAAATTAAAACAGATCTGCGAAAATTCTCATTTTACGATTCAAAAGTCGTATTGGCAAACAATTGTTTTTGGTCATTCATCATCAAGCCGGTACATGACATGGGGAATAAAATGGTCAGTTAATTGCAGCGTTTATAT